GTTTGTCGTGTTGAGAGTGTTAATGTTTTATGTTTATATATGTTAGATTTTGAAGAATATCTCATTTCAGTATCTCACCTTTTCGTTGGCTCTATGTTCGGAATGCCCAGGGACCCATGCCCGGGTCAGGTCATTAGTATCCCAGTTCTAAACTCTTTGTCTTTACTTCGCAGAGGCTAGGGTGCTGCCTGACTGTCAGATAAGATGGCTTTGTTCCAGGAATGTATTCCTAGACTTTTTATTTCCCTGGTGCAGTGGTCAATCGCTATGATTTCAGATTGGAAAACAGTAGTATATTTGCCTAGGTTTACAGTCACTTCGGGCTTTGGTCATCCCGAAGACTCCAGCCCCCGTGCCTTTGTCGCTTTTGAAGCCGTCAGTATACCAGTAGGATTTTGCTTTTATCGGTGTTCCTTTTGCCCATTCTTCCATTCTGGTATCAATGCTTAGTACTTTTTAATAAAATTGTGCTTTGGAGTAGTGGCATTAATTGGCATGCCTAGAATGGCATCTGCCAGTATCTCCTCCCTCAGTTTCTATTGTTTATTTTCATGGCCTATCCTTGCAGATGGTTGTCCATTTATGATCCTGCGGGCTGCTGCTCTGGCATCTCCATGGATTAAAATATCAAGTGGGTTTGACAACACCTCAAGGTCCGCAGTTGGCGTTGTGCTCATGGCTCCAGTGAAACAAGCTTGTCTTTGGGTGCCACTTAAAAAATAACGTGATTGCTTCAGCCTGTAGAGTTTCGTTCCACGACACCCATGTGTCAACATTGGTCTCTGTGGTTTTGTTCTGAATCGTCTAAGTTTTACATGTTATTCTAGATTTTTTTGAATAAAAAAGTATTGTTTTACTTTAGTCTATTAAGTTATGTGTGGTGATTAGTGACCGTTAACCGATAATTATTCAGAAATCGTGAGATGCGCTCTGATGTGATGTAGGTTTCAGAAAAAACATTTTCTTTATCGTACCAACGTTTCGATCTTTATTGAGATCATCTTCAGGGCTCAAAGTGTTGACTTCTGTGTAATTGTGCCATTCTTGCGTGTCGTGCCAAATCCAAACATAAAACAGCAATATCTCACTGGCACTCTCAACACGACACGCAAGAATGGCACATTTTCACAGAAGACAAACACTTTGAGCCCTGAAGATGATCTCAATAAAGACCGAAACGTTGGCACGATAAAGAAAATGTTTTTCTGAAACCTACATCACACCAGACCACATCTCACGATTTCTGAATAACTATTAAGTTATTTTTAATTTATTTTAATCGATATATAAGAAGATTTTTAAAATGGTATAAAATGGCCGTGAAAAATAAGTGGTGCATTTTACATTTTTTAAACTTTTTGACGTTTTAATTACAAACTTTCAGTATGAAAAAATTGGATCTTTGCGTTCAAATTTTTTTTTCAAAAAAGCATCATTTCAAAAGGTTAATCGTTTATGCAAATTGATAGGATTAACCAGAATTCCCTGGCTGTTATTCGCATTCATTCTTTTAATAATCCAAGCGGTTGTTTTGAAGACAAAATTCAACGTCCAATCAGTGTTTATTTACATGATCGTTCCGAATGGTCGAAATGAGCACCCACGACTCGGTAATTATCAGAAAAAGTAAGGAAATTGAGAGTTGACTAATTAAGACGACAATTAATTTTTAAATTGTATTCAACGTTTCTCCACCTTAATAGCTCCACCTGGAGCATTTATTTATTCAAATTCCTATGCACTCAAAAGGAAGATGTAATCAAAGTCGCCAATGCAACTTTTTAACATAAATACAGACAATTAAATGGTAATTATGCAATTATATATTTTTTTTACGTCTGGTGTACGAAAAGACAGAATCTGACTTGCAAAATGTATCCGTATAAAATGTATAAAGTATACTTAAACAATATTGTGTAAACTACTAAGGAATGACAAAATTCCTTGTCTTTGGCTAAAAAACTGAAAAAATAACCAGCTTATATTTTTTATTTTGGTATGTTTGTAAGCTTTGGAACAAGTCATCCGAAGGAGCGAGGTCCAGGTAATGAGGTTGAAAGATTCATTAAATGGCCTTGCTGGAGAATATATCACCAACCAAAGATAGCTGTGTAGTTATAATCATCAAATTCTTATATTTTATAATAAATTTTTAATATAACATTTTAGGACATAGAACGTTGAACAAACTGGATAACTTCTAATATAATTGTACAGTTAAGACAAAGTTTAATAGGGGAAACTATTCATAAAAATATGGTGCAAACTTTTACATTTTTTCTTCCGATATTTTCGGTGAGATTTATAAAATGGAATGATAGGCAGAGTCAGTTGGTATAAATAATTAAATAAAGAGTTAGTCAAAGTCAGACATAAGAGTCGCATAACGATTAAAACGGAAATTTTAATATCACCAATTAATGCACGTTTGTAACGACCTAGTATAAATATATAGGAACACCTGGTTCACGTTTTAACAAAAAGGCTATTTATAATTTCGTTTTATATTTAAAATTAATTATAAACTTAATCAATTATCACACCACCATCATACAGAAATTATGAAATAAGCTAAATTATTTATTTCCAAGGACTATTTAACGGCTTCCTTGATAGTCAACTTCAAAATGTTCGTAATGTAGGGGTGAGCAGCACGACACAATGACAATCATCAGAAGGTTTCGGGAGAATAGCCTCGTCTCTGGACGACTCGCATCAGGTTCTCTACTGGAGAGGCATCGAGTAGAATGGCGACTATTCGCAAATTAGCATCTTGCTTGGACACTTCAACTACTGGGGGATGTTCTCTTCACAGTTGAGTGCAGATTTGGGTTTTAGCAATCAAATGACCGGGACCGTGGGCGGAGAATGCTTTGCTTCATGTGCCATGAGTGATTCACAGCTTTTTCAGCAGGCCAGAAGGTGATGATATTGAACACCGCGACCCTGATAGATGATGAACAGCAAGTTGAAGGGTTTCACCCCGGTCGGAGTCAGTTATTGTACGGTATGAGATGGAATCAACATTCAAGCCCGTACCGAGCTGATTTTCGTACAAAATAGATCTTCAGCTGCAATGAGGAAGATAAAATAGACAATTGAGATAAATAAAATTTGATTTACAAACTCTACAAGAAAAGTGTCCGAAATAAAATCTTCTTTAAAAAGTCGTAGAATTTAATTCCCTATTACACACATAAGAATAAAAAACAATTAAATAATAATAACGTTGAATAACAGACAGAATAAAGCAATCCAGGCTGGCCAGGTGTATTCCACCAATCCAGCCCAATTGGATCCATTCAACAAACTTAAAAATTCTTTTCTTGTAAATACACTGCACCCGAAGAATAACCTCCTGTATTCAGAAAGAATAGGGCAAACCGCTATAAAATGGAAAGATAGTATATTTTTTGTTTTTATTTTATTTACTTTTCATTTATTTTATATTATTTTGTTTGTGAGTGTATAATAAAAATTCAATTCAGAAACGTGTTAAAATATTTTTGTTTTAACTTTTTTGTTGAAAATATATTAATTAATGAAAGGAATTAATTTGAGTCTATGTTTAAATAAGTACGAAGGATGAATGACGATTGAAATATATAAAATTTGATTTTTTTTTCTTTTTTTCTTCAAACCTTAATAACTAACTCTTAAACGACAAACTCGAACAAACAAGAAAAGTGTCCGAAGTAAAATCTTCTTTTAAAAAAGTCTTAGTGTTTAATAGAGTCTATTCAAAATGATACCTTCCCATTTGAAAAAAAAAAAAAAAAAAAAAAAAAAAAAAAGAGCCCTGAGGACGTACCGTACGTTGAAAAAAAATATTGACTTCAGATCCGGATTCTACATAAAAAATTGTGTAAAGACCAGTCTTATTTTTTAAAATCATTTCCAAACAACAGAAATAAAAGTGGGTAGTTTAAATAATCATCCGGTATAGTATATTTTTTGTTTTTATTTTATATTTTATGTATTTTATTTGGTTTTGTCTGTGAGTGTATAATAAAAACTCAATTCAGAAACGTGTTATTTTATTTTTTTATTTTCTGAAATTGTTAAACCTCTTTATTAATTAATGCTATAATTAATTTAAGCCTATGCTTAAATAGGTACGAAGAATGAATGACGATTGAGATAAATAAAATTTGAATTTTTTCAAGCCGTAATAACTATTAAACGATAAACTGCAAGAAAAGTGACCGAAGTAAATTTTTCTTTAAAAAAAAGGAGAATTTAATTATGTATTCAAATGATTCCTTCCATTTGAAAAAAAAAGTTGTTGAGCCCTCGTGACGTACCGTACGTTGAAAAAAAATATTGACTTCAGATCCAGATTCTACATAAAAAATTGTGTAAAGACCAGTCTTATTTTTTAAAATCATTTCCAAACAACAGAAATAAAAGTAGGGAGTTTAAATAATCATCCGGTATAGTATATTTTTTGTTTTTATTTTATATTTTATGTATTTTATTTGATTTTGTCTGTGAGTGTATAATAAAAACTCAATTCAGAAACGTGTTATTTTATTTTTTTATTTTCTGAAATTGTTAAACCTCTTTATTAATTAATTCAATAATTAATTTAAGTCTATGTTTAAATAGGTACGAAGTATGAATGACGATTGAAATAAATAAAATTTGAATTTTTTTTAAACCGTAATAACTCTTAAACGACAAACTCCACAAGAAAAGCGTCCGAAGTAATTTTTTAAAACTTTTTGTTTTGATTTTATTTTTAAGTATTTTATTTTATTTTGTCTGTGAGAGTGTAATAAAAATTCAATTCAGAAACGTGTTAAATTATTTTTGTTTCTACTTTTTTGTTCAAAAGATTAAACCTTAATATATTAATTAATAAAATAATTAATTTAAGTGTACGTTTAAATAAGTACTAAGCAAGTTTCGTACATATAATATGTATGAAACACTAACCGTAAGTCTTGGACTTAGCAGTATAGCTCATTAAGACGAGCTGCTGAGATGGCAGCACCGGCTGACTCTGTGAGTTTGTAAAGAAACCTGCTCCATCCTGTAACAGCGCAACGACCACGTTTCTTATCTGGTTTATCGGATCATTTCGCCCGTTTATTGTATAAAACTGCGTAAGTCTTTTTGTATAAAATTTTATGATCTAAAGGCGAGTCGAGAAATATTTCTTTGATCTTTTGTTTTTAAACATTGTTGGCCTTCCTTTCGTCTGTAAATGGATTGACTTTGATTTGCCGGCGAGGTTCTGTTACCTTCGCCTCTTTGCTAAAATGTTAAAAAGTTGTTATTCTGTTAAAAAACACATTTGCAACAAGAGAGGGACATATTATTTTTTATTTAAAACATAAACTTCACAAGCCTTCAAATAACTTATAATACAATAGATAGTATATAAATAATTTTGTCCCATTTAAACAACATTGCTCTTACTAATGGTCAGCATTTAAAAACAACATCCAAACAGTGCATAATTTTTTTTATAATTAATAAATTTTATATGGATTAATAAATACCAATGTTAAAAACATGTTGTGCTGTGAGAAAAAAAACATTTACAAGAGAGGAACGTATTTTATATTTAATGCTTTATAGGGCTTCAAATAATTAACAAAAAAAATTGCACAGTGCTTGACTTGCTTAAACAACATCGGTTTTATAGATGGTCAGCATTTAAAAAAACATCCAAAGTACATAAATTTTTCATAACAATCTTTCAATATTGGCCTTAAATTGTCAAATTTGTACGTTGGTTTAATGGAATTTGAGAAGCATAAATCTGACGATAAATCTCAGACTGCAGTAAACTTAAATGTCAATGTTAAAAACCTGTTATGCTGTAAGAAAAAAACATTTACAAGAGAGGAACATATTTGATATTTAATATTTTATATGGCTTCAAATAATTAGCATAAAATAAATTTCACAGTGCTTGACTTGCTAAAACAACATCAGTTTTATACATAGTCAGCATTTTAAAACAACAGCCAAACAGTGCATAAATTTTTCATAAGAATCTTTAAATATTGTCCTTAAATTGTTGAACTTGGACATTGGTTTGATGGAATATGAAAAGCATAAATCTGACAAATTTCAGACTGCATTAAACATAAATGGCAATGTTAAAAACCTGTTGGCTTCAAATAATTATCATGAAATAATTTTCACAGAGCTTGACTTGCTAAACAAGATCGGCTTTACAGATGGCCAGCATTTAAAAATCACTCGAAAAACAGTGTATACATTTTTCATAAGAATCTTTAAATATTGGCCTTAAATTTTTGAAGTTAGACCGTTGATGAAATATGAAAATCATAAATCTGTCGACGAGCTTCACATTGCAAAGTTAAAAGTTGTTATGCTATTGGAAATTGGGTGTTGGTTGAGGAATGTGACAAGCATAAATCGATTGATAAATGTCAGACCTTATTAAACTTAAATGCCAATTTAGGCAATTGGAAAAAAAAATTGCAACTAGAGAGGAACAATACTTTGTATTTATGAAACAAATAATTTAATGTTAACCTATGCTGATAATTTGGGGCTTCTTGATTCTGAGCCCCAGTCACACCAGAGAACAAATTAATTGGAAAAATTGTAGTTTATGGGTTCGGAAACAATTGTGTAAATTAAATATTTAATATATAAACTTACATTCTGTATATCCATATTGGACAAATGAGTAAATTTGTTGTTAATGCGATGTTGAGATCGATGGTTGAAAGGTAGTAGCAAGACTTTGCAATGGCTGTTCATGTCTTGTCGTTCTGGGCAAATGTATGGTTCCATGTCTTTGTCAATGTGTGGTGATTAGTGACCGTTAAACGATAATTATTCAGAAATTGTGAGATCACACCAGACCGCATCTCACGATTTTTGAATAATTAGTCTTTGTCAATGTTCAGTCCAGGTATCAACTATACCAGAAATTGGTATCAGTTTGTCATTCAGTCTTAATTGAATTCACATTGTCACTTAATGTGAAAGTGACTTAAATTTGTTTTCTATCGTTCAAAGGTGTCTTTGAAGATATGAGCTTACAATGGATGGGATGAAGTGAGAAAAAGATAACCATGTCATAAGCAAAGGTGGAGATGACTGTGTTTAGGGGAGTAGGAATTTTGGCAGGTATATTATTAAGTATTATTTAACCAAGGCAAAAAGAATCGGTTAAAGAATACTTCCTTCTGGGACTCTAAGTTTTTACTGGAATATAAGAGGAAAGGATGCCCCTGACAGATTGATATCGTATCTTGAATTTTCACACTAAACCTGTGTGTCAGCACAGCGAAAGAGAGTATTAATTGCTGGGGCATGAAACAATTCCTGAACGAATGGAATCTGTCCCCCGGACATAGGCAATCGAAGGAGTTTCTGAAGGAAATCAAACCAAAAGAAGCGAAATGGTTATTCTCTAACTCAAGGAGGGGAATAAGGAGGCTGATAGGTATCCTAACGGGCCATTGCCCCTTGAGAAGAACCTCTTCATAATGGGTATTCTACCAGACCCCTTTTGCCACTTCTGTGAAATAAAAGAAGAAACGGCTCGACACTACCTCGCAGAATGTAATAGGTATGCCAGGGATAGATTTGAAACTTTTGAAGGAGAGGACATTGACAAATCACTCCCCAAGATAAAATGGTCCAAAATCTTGGGGTTTGTAAACAGGTCCAAGAGGTTTATGCAGGACTCGTGAGCCGACCAAGTCCCGGACCTTTTAGGGATGGGGTACGGGCCTGCCTAGGCTTTTAACCCCTCGGGTCTCTGTCGCCCACCCTGCATAATATATATAAATCTGTGTGTCGTATTGCTTATCTTTCTTAAGTTGGTTTTATGGTCAGCATTTAAAAATAATATACTTTGCATACAAATCTTTAAATAGGTGGATTACATTTTCATATTTGGGTCCAGGTGGAGCATAACTCTTGTCAATGAGCTACCGGCTGTGCATTAAACTTAAACTTCAATACTAGAACGTTGCCAATAAATAGAAAATTATGTAAATAATTTTTTAAAAAATCCAATAGATTTAACATACACAAAAGCCAACTATTCCTGTAAAGGTAGTAATGGTCATTTTCCAAGTTGACAATTTAAAAATTCCAGACCTCTGTAAAATAATTTTTTTTTAAATTTATAGGCGGGAAATTTAAACATAAATAAAACAATATTTGCATTTGTAGTTTGTTCGTTTCCAATTGTTATGATCTGCTTATCCTCAATGTTTTAACATTTAATAATAATATAATTGTCAATATTTGATGTTTGGTCATCAGTCTGTAGCTTGGTTTTCCTATCATGTTTGTGCATAAAATAACATAATATTAACATTAACTTGATTTCTTTCATTATTGTGAAATTTCCTTCTTGAGGTATGTTTCGTGATGAGCCTGTAGGCTGGGCCAAACTGCTGGAATATGTACAAAATTGTAAATTTCCCTGCTCGGCCTTTGTACAGACTCTGCGCTATATTTAAATACCAGCACTGGCAAACTGCCTATGAATCGAGAACAAGTTTAAAGCATTGTTCTAAGATCCGTTATGTCAAAATTAAAGAGAGAAAAAATATACAATTGATGGCTTAGAATACAAACAGTATTTCTACTATGTTTTAATTAATCAATTTTATTTTTAAAACTTATTTGTGGTTGGTATGTTGTTAAAATTACTGACAGAACTTCACCCCATTTCACTACTTCAGACCGCCAAAAGAAACTTTTTATTTTTATTTATTTTATTTTATTTTTATTTTTTTACACACCACAAAAGGAAATTGAACAATATATTCACATTTTAATTTCTTTAATATTAATTAGCAATCTTTTTCAGTTAGAGTTCCAACAATCCTAATAATTAATAACCATGTGCTTATAAAGTTTATTGTCAAACGCTGTTTCCACAAAGAGGTCATCTTAGTTATTTTTAACAAGGGTTCATAATCCTTGGGGGGGGGAGACCATTTATGTCAGGTTCGAAAGCAGGGCTGCTGGATTCAAACTTGGGACTTTTACCTTACAGTGATGACCAACGTTGTCAATGTATAAACCACAACCACCTACACCCCCCTTCCCAAGGGACATCTTCATTCTTTATATTTATTACATAAACTGTGACAAAAGCAGCTATTAACAATTTTCTATCATAAACTGTTCAGTTGTATATTCAGATTAATTATCTTACGACCCATTAATTTTAATTGTATATAAATAAGCTGATGAAAATGAAAAATGTAATGCATCATGAGCAATACGTGATAAGTAGTTAAAATCCTAGATTTTTCTTGCCATAGTTTGCATTGTTTTAAAAAACCTTTCATCTATATATTGTTAAATAATTTTATTTTACCATGAAATATTATTGTGAGGTCAGTGAGGTGACGACATGCCTGACTGAGAGTAGTGAAATTCCAACATGGCAACAGATAAACCAAGAGATGACAGGATGATCAGGGAGCGATCAAGGCAGAAATGTTATTTCAACTCTGTCTAAATAATTTTTGATACAGTTTTAATTGCAGCACAGTGAAATCTACCCTAAGATGAAAATTTAAAATACACATTGATTGTGGAGGGAGCCCTAACAGCTTCTGGGTGTTGGTCCTCAGTGTCTCTTCTCTCCTGCCCCTGCTTGGGATACCGTACATACTTCATGTAGGCAGTATTTCCAATGGAAATATATATTTTAAAAAAAGCTCATAGTAAAAATGGTAAACTTTTATTTAAGATAGTTACTGAATATCTCTGTTCAGAGTTGTGCTCAAGTTATCTTCTGATAAATCTGCAAATCAACAAAAAAATTAAATTATAAAAACTCAAATCACTACAATAACGTTTAGTCACTTAATGCAACAAGTTTTAATAAAATAGGCCAATATAAAGGAAATAAACAAGGTCATCAAATTCCTAAACTTCCATTATTACTACACACAGTGCAACAATTTCTAAAAATAAACTTGGAAATTTTTATCGTTTATAAGCAGTATAATCTACAAATAGTACAGAAAAGAGAAATAGTCAGGTTCAATATCTTAGACGAGACAAGCTGTGACATCGCCACCACACACCCGCTCATGTCACTTTCCTAACCACGTACCACTAATTGATATAATAACAGTATTTCATAAGAAACCAAATGTCGACCGCTCTTGCAAAAATTATGGGTTTGACATGTGAAACACCCCTTCTCAATACTAAATTGTAAAACCTCAGGCTGTTATTCATTCCTCTCTTTTTTTTCTGGTCCGTACGTGGTTCTGGCCACACCAGCTGAAAAGAGCTTGAGACATTATTACACTTTTGATGCTTAATTCATGGCTACTTAATTTTAATATAACACGCCTGGATTCATTGAATATTTTAAGATCAATTTCTTTTTAAATGGAAAATTTGAAACTTATTTAAATTGTGTAAGAACAGAAAATTGTAAGTTCAGGATAGTTGATTGTATTTTTGTTCACTTATCAATATCCAGGATATCTAGGCCCTTCTTTATTTGAAAACCTCAAAAATTGCACTACCCTTAAGGTAGTTTGGCACTTTCCAGTGGTCCCCTTTGCTTATTTAGTTAAGCATTAATTTCAGAAGAGGCTAAGGCTTTGCACAAAGGGCATATTCCATTTTTTAATTAATTTTTTTTTTTAAGGCAATAATGAATCAGCAATGGTGAATATAAAAGCTTATTATTTTCTTAATTTATGCCGACTGAGTCCAGTGTCATTTCTTTCTCTATCCATTTGATCAGTTATGCTTTTAGCAATATTTGGGGCCAATTTGCGCTTCCAGTCCAAAGTATGTGAGAGTTCCTGCTTTTGCTGTCGGCCTGTTAATTGTCTTCAACCCCATTGTGTCATGTACTTTCCCCATGTACTTTCATCAGAATTGCCTGGTTACATTTTCCAGGAGCTTTACATGATCTGAAGGAGGACGGGTCTAAAGCGTGAAAATCACTCATGAAACTTTTGGTGCGAGGATGTTTTGGAGTGAGCCGACCAGGTGTTGGTTTTTTTAATGTGCATCAAAGTGGTATGCTTTGCTTGTTTCTCTCTGTGTTAACTCGATGGTCTCGAGTATGAGAATGAACCAGGGGGACTGCATTTGTATAAATGTATCACAGCTACTGTTTTTTTGTGGGATGCTAAAGATAAAACTCATCTTTACAAGAACAAGAGAGTTGATGCGTGAAAAGAAATGAGCATCAAAATGGGACAAAGACAAAAAGTATCGCCGTGATAGCAAACTGATACAGCAGTTGGTGTAGTTATAAAGGCATGTCTCATTTTATTTCTGACCTTGTTTCGCCTCATGGAAATGGTTAATCTGAGACAGCGTTTCACTAGTGATTCTCATGTTTATATGCGTGAGTGATTTTTTTGTGCAATGGAAATCGAGCTTAAGACCTTCAGTGCTGCTTTCTTGGCTGCCTGAGATCTGTGCACCTTTTAATCCTTTTTTAAAAATTTCATGTACACAGAGTTCTATTTTATGGATCAGCTTGGGAAATTGACAGCTTCGGCCTAGAGGTTGCTAGGTCCAATTTAGGCCATTGACTCCTGTCCTCACTCTGTTTTATTTGAGATTCAGATGCAATATTAAAGTTAGTAGTTTCAGGGTTTTTGTTCTTTCAATCTTCACTTTACCATCCCTAACCATTCTTCTATTATTATTGTTATTTTTATTTTAATAGGTCTGTCAAAATATTCTATTACTCCATTAGTAAAAAATGAAGTCTTATATTCATTTTTAAGTTAAAATTTGTTAAAACATTGTTGGTGTAAAGTTCAAATTTTGACCCAAAATTGGGAGGGGATTCATGAAAAATTCACAAATATTGAATATCCCAAAGATGTTTGGTAGTCGGACAAAACTTTAGGAACTTTTCTTTTGATATATATTTGTATGTAAGAGGGTATGCGCACGCATGTGTGTGTGTGTGTATGTATGTATGTGTGTGATGTTTGTAGAGCGACAATGAGATAGATAAATAGATCGAGCAAGAAAGTGAGAGCTAGGGAGAGGGAGTGACTGAAAAGGAGAAAGAGCTAGAAAGAGATAAGAATAGTGAGTGAGAATGAGAGATAGATAAATAGAAAGAAAGAGAAAGAAAGAGAGAGAAAGAGAGTAAGAAATGGGTGAGTGAAAGAGAGAGAGTGAGCGGTAGAGTAAGATAAAGAGCTAGAGAGAGATATAGAATGAATGAATGATTGTGTTTGTGTTATTCATTTGAAAAATAAAGAAAAACAAATTAAAATTGTTTTATAATCAAGTTTGTTCATTAAATTTTTAAATTATATGATACAATATGAATAGAATAAAGCGATCTTGTTCTTTCATTCTCTTCTGGAATTAGCTGGTTTTGTTGTCATTTAAAATTCATTACAATTTAATTTTTTGTTAAATTTGATTAATACTAAATTGAATATTTATTTGTGTGAAAAAAGAATCATATTTTAGAATATTGTTTTGAAATTAACAATAATTATTTATTAGTACGTCCAAACATTTATCAGGATGAAGGAAAAAGAGCTAGGTGATGTGATGAAGGGTTGAGTTAAACATGGGGGTGGTCCTTCGTTTCGAATTCCATGTTATTACAAGTAGATAGAAAGAGGTAGGCGTGAAGGGGAGTGCCTATTCCACTGATTTTATCTCCGCCTCTCGATTCACCTAGGTAGAAATAACTTTGCAACCTTTTCTCATCTCGTCATAATTGGCTCTCGACGCGGGGAATGTTTTAAAATCACTTGGGCATTATTCGTAAGGTAGGACGAATTGAGTATGGCCGGAGGAATGCTATTCCACTCCTCCCTTCCGTCACCCCATTTGGATATCGTCTGAATGCCCGGTGTACCTGGCACAATGATAGTTATTACGTGGCCGGTCTTGACAATTGCTCTACAATTATCCTCCTCAGGTACATTTTGACTCTTTCTTGACCACAAAATGTCTTTAACACTACGAATGAAAAAAAAACAGGGCTAATTTAAATATTGAGCCTTGTTATATTAAGCTTGGATTTCATATGGAAATGATATCAATTGTTGTTTTTAATATACGGCTTTAAATATTATCCTACCTCTCAATAACGAAACTTTTTTTATTTTTTAATCAGTTAATCACTGTTAAATTTGAATTGACTTGAAAGCTTATTAATACTTACTTTTCTAAGATGACCCGAAGGTCATATCTTGTTCATTGTCATCCGATAGTGTAGTTTCAATCGTTGCGCGAGTAGTTATAATTACCGGAATATTTGCCTCAATCACACTGCCCCTGTGTATTATCTCTTAAGCCTCAGCAACTGGACAAAACAGAAAACAAAAACAGTTTATTTATCAAAGTTTAATCGATATAAAAATTCTAAAAATTATCGTTGGTGTTGAATAAATATTTTTTGAATTCACCATGCTCGCTCACTAAGAGTTAAATAATTATCTTGAGCCATTAGGATTATTTGCCCCATTAGCAAGTCCCTAGAATGAGTTTTGATTGGTGCAAGTATGCAAACGTTCAAACCTTGATGTGTATAATTTTACCTAATTCCAAGCTCCGTCGTACAGTGGCTCAAGATTACAGTTGAGATTCTGAATATGCACTAATTGACTACAGGCTGAATTATAAACCCTATTTTTCTTTAAATGACTCATACACTTCTGTCAGTTTATAAAGGAAGCTTTAAAGATTTTTTTTTTTTGCCAACAGGATGCCTCCGAAAAAGGTAGAAGGCCCTGAGAAGAAACCCTTAATTGGAAGGGTCGGGACGAACCTGAAGGTGGGAATCGTTGGCCTTCCGAATGTAGGAAAATCCACATTTTTCAACGTACTAACAAAGAGCCAAGCCGCTGCTGAAAACTTCCCATTCTGCACAATTGACCCTAATGAAAATAAGTATTCTATTCTGTACAATTTCTCTGAATCAAATGGACAAAAGTGTGTTGACCCGAATCTTGCTGCTTTAGGTACGTCGAGTTCCTGTACCTGATTCGAGATTTGACTACCTCTGCGAATATTACAAACCTGCAAGGTATGACAATTGAGTATTTCTGTGAATTTCGTGTACGATTTTTCCTACTCGTTTTCAGCAAAGTTCCTGCGTTTCTCAATGTAGTGGACATTGCTGGATTGGTCAAAGGTGCTTCAGAAGGTCAAGGACTTGGAAATGCCTTCCTTTCGCATATCAGAGCTTGTGATGCATTATTCCACATGTGCAGTACGTACATTTTTTTAACATATTAAAAAAATTAACCTAAGATTACAGTAATGTTATTTGCCTTTTGTTCGTCAAATTAAAAGTAAAAAAAAAATCATCCTTCATATCACAGGTGAGGAATTTTTCATCAAGTGGGGGAGTATAAAAAAATAAGGGGGAAAGATTTTGTAACCACAGATTCCTGAAGGTGTGACAGGTGGGCCTGTGGCTTATGACCACAAGAAACATATGGACTCACCCGTGAGAACCTTGTTACAAATACCACACTCAGACCTTGTTAGGGATAATTTGTTGAAGAAATACTAATAAAATTCACCCTGTCTTTTTTCCTTCTTCTTTCTTTCTTTATAACCAACATCTTTCAATTTCAACATTTTAAGATAAATTATTACAAAGCTATCTTTTATATTTGTTCAGGGGCATTTGATGACGACGATGTAACTCATATCGAAGGGGAAGTGGACCCATTAAGAGATTTGGATATAATCAGTGAAGAACTTCGTTTGAAGGATGAAGAACTTCTTATGACAAACTTAGAAAAACTCGAAAGGACAGTGGCAAGAGGTGGAGATAAAAAATTGAAACCTGAATATGTAAGAACACCAATGACTAACATCGTCAAACATATAACTTTTCTATATTTTTTTAAAGGATGCACTACTAAAAATTAAGCAAATCCTTGTCGAAGAAAAACACCACCTCCGCTTTGCAGATTGGAGTGCAGCCGAAGTAATAAAAATTAAAATGTTCGTTTTCTAATAAGTAATTTTCTTTATAACTTGATTTTTGTTTAAGATTGAAATTTTAAACAAATACATGTTTATTACGACCAAGCCAGCTCTCTACTTAGTAAATCTTTCCGAGAAAGATTACATCCGAAAGAAGAATAAATGGTACTGCTTTATATTTTATTGTTTATTTTAACTTTTATTTGAAGAAAAAATTTATTAAAGGTTAATAAAAATAAAGGAGTACATAGATAAAAATGACCCAGGTGCCATAATAATACCTTTTTCTGGAGTATTTGAAAATAAACTTGCAGATATGGACGAAGTTGAGAGAAAAGCGTATTTAGAAGAGCATAAGATAACAAGGTAGATCATCCTAAATCAGAAATAATATTCCTGAAATAATTTCAACATTTATAGTGCCCTCGATAAGATAATCGTTCAAGGTTATAAAGCCCTTCAACTCCAGTATTTCTTTACTTCCGGCCCTGATGAAGTCAAAGCTTGGACAATTCAGGTAAAAAAGATGGCGAAAAAAATTTTAATTCAACAGGACATTCAACGACACGCATGTTTTAGAAAGGGACAAAGGCTCCAGGAGCTGCCGGAAGGATCCACACAGATTTTGAAAAAGGATTCATCATGGCTGAAGTCATGAAATTTGACGATTTTAAAGAAGAAGGATCTGAAAACGCTGTCAAAGTATGTTTATTCATCCTTCGTTTTTTTTAAAAATAATATGTTATTGTTTTGAACTTTTAGGCTGCTGGAAAATACAGACAGCAAGGTCGCAATTATGTCGTTGAAGATGGCGACATAATATTCTTTAAATTCAATGCTGGTGCGGGGCTCAAAGATGCAAAGAAAAAGTGATTCATTTCCTTCTACTCGCTTCTGTACCAAAATCTTTGGAATCTTTTTTTTAATCACAAAAGCCAAGAATAATCGCTTTGTACTGTGCATTAAAATAAAATAATGAATAAAATAAAAATAAACTCAATCTTGACATTATTTGATATTTTATTTGATAGCAGTCAGTACTGAATGTGAAATTGTATGTCAATACATATGTGGGCATTAATTGACCAAAATTGATCCAACTACAAGTCAAACAGAGACAAGTCATCTATAGAAAGAATTTAAAGCTTGATGCGGATTCTCAGGTGATTTTTGAGGTTTAGTATGTGCAGCCCAGCCTGAACAAACAAAAATCTGTGGGCTGAACAGACAGCTGCAGTTGAGTTAGTTAAAAATCCAAATCTTTGACAGTAGTTCTTTTATGTCTTTGGAGGTGTAGGTGGCCGCAACGGTTTAGACATTGAGACACACTCATCACTGTAAGGTAAAGGTCCCGGGTTCGAATCAAGTAGCCCTGCATTTGAACCCGACACTTACAAATGGGCTTGTTTCCAACAATTCCGGCACCCTGAGGGTTCATATATAACCTCATAGTTAAAACATTGCCACGCAAAAAAAAAAGGATGTTTTGACCTAAGATCTAATCCTTTTTAAGTATTCTGTTCTAGTTTAAAATCACTTAACTCGGCAATAACTTTAAGCCCGTGCAGGTGCCCCTTATGCAGAGAAAGGTTGCTCCCACATAATAGAGGCGTGTCATACCTTGGCTCCATACAGAGAGCGTGTAGGCAAGCCGCTGGACTTAAGAAGAGGTCTCAAGCACAGTAGCAAGTTTCAGAGTTCCCTGTTCTGCTTTTTAGGGGAAATTGGGTTTTTTTATTGTATATATGTCTTATATGTTTTGTTTGAGTGCATGTATTTATTAGCGTGAATGGTGAGGGGTGAGGGTGAAATATAACGTCATCATCGCCCCTCGAATGTAGAGAGCGTAAGAGTGTGTGTTCGAGGTCGATGGCGGAATATTTATAAAAGTACTCCATCGACCCCAATCTAGATTAGATTAAGTATAGGTCGGGGGAGGAATATCAAGTATTCCACCGACCAAACGGAATGAGTGTACTGTATGGATGTATTTATGTGTGTGAATGTATTTATTTGTATGAATGTAGTGTTTGAAAGGGTAAATAGAATATAGACTTAGTTGGGGGCTGAAATGACCTAGATGTCAGAAGCCCCACTCAAAAAAAAATTTAAGTAAATAAATTGTTTTCGTCTCAAGGCAGAGTTTTTAGCCAATATGAAACTGGCTTACAACAAATAAAAATGAGTAACACATAAAAGAAAAGAATTAGTTATTTATTTAGAAATCGTGAGATGTGATCTGGTGTGATGTAGGTTTCAGAAAAACATTTTCTTTATCGTGCCAACATTTCAATTTTTATTGAGATCATCTTCAGGACTCAAAGTGTTTGTCTTCTGTGTAATTGTGCCATTCTTGTGCCAAATCCAATATATATGAACATAGAACAGCAATATCTCACTGGCACTCTCAACACGACATGCAAGAATGGCAAAATTACACAGAAGACAAACACTTTGAGCTCTGAAGATGATCTCAATAAAGATCGAAACGTTGGCACGATAAAGAAAATGTTTTTCTGAAACCTACATCACACCAGACCACATCTCACAATTTCTAAATAAATATCGATTAACGATCACTAATCACCACACAAAAGAATTAGTGCTGAATTTTGGTCTGCCTACCATCCATCGTCGGGTTAGTCTGTCAGACGTGTTTCAGCATTTTAACATCTTCAGTGTTGGGTCTGAGGTTCATTGATCCCTCTGAGACAGTGAAACGCTAACAGATGTGACATGCCAGCCCAGTGACAGACCAAAATTATCATTTTTGAGAATTTTTTTTATAACTGAACAACAAGTTCCGGATTATTGGGGAATGTTAAGTTAGAAACTGAGGATCGGGGTGTAATGAAAGGGATTTTTGGATGTGCATGTATCAGGATTTCATGACATCTTTCACCAAACAAATATTAATTGTGGATTGTTTATGTACGAGGGACTGTTTACTATTTTTCAGGGAATTTTGGATTGTGAATACTAGATGGAATTATAGTTGAAAAATTTAGTTGATCCACAGTTCAATGCCCTTTGACCAAATAGGTTTTATTATAGTCTTGCATATCAGCCAGTGAAGTGTCATTTCGATAGTTGTCTAGAAGTCATAAAAAGTTTTGAACATGCAGTCACTTTAGAGAATGCACTGAGCAGTTAGGGCAACAGACAGATTTGCCATGCTTGTGCCCTGTGTTCGAATCCTGGCATATTTAGTTCATGGATTTCTAATATTGAATACTTTGGAAAAAATATTGTAAAGTGGTTTGACACCTCAATCAATGGCTGGTTGTATGTTAAGCCCTCTCATGTATCACAGAAATTAATTTACTTTTTTTAAATTTATGTTTAGTCATTTGCCGCATTTTTAGACTATTATGTGGATTTCATATTAATCTTTTGTAGATAAACAGCCCGAGGTAGCGGATTTGATTAACTAAGGAAAAACTATAATGATTTAGGTATAGTGGGTGCATTATTCCACTTCAGAAGGTAAATGTTATGTCTTGGCTTATGCCTGATATATATATTTTTTTTTATGCACCACTTTTCAGCCAAGATTCTATTTTGTAAAGCTGAGCCTGTAAGGACCGATGTGAAAGGTCGATATCTTAATTGGGCAATAAGACAGTCATATCACCTAAAGAAGTGTGGTTGTAGTGTCAGGATAGGTAGATAAAACGGAGGTGTATGTGGAATATAAGATAGGACTGAGGACACTGCCCTGTGGGACTCCACCCTTAACAGGATAGTAGTCAGGAAAGGATGTATCGCTGGCTGGCTTTAAAGAAGTGATATGACCAGAGGATGAGGAAGAAAGTGAAGGGAAGGATGTTCTTGAGCTTCCTCAGCAAACCTGGATGGCAGGCTCTATCTATCAAAGGCTAAAGCCACATCAAGGAAAGCACTGGAGCAGTAGTATCAGCTCAAGAGCCAAACTGGTGATATAGGATGTTTTGTTTTTCTATGAGGATCTCGAAAATTGTTGGGATTTTTCCAACGGGCTTTGCTAGGGTGTAGTTCGGCTCTTTTGTCCCTATCTACACCCTGTTCCATCTTTGATCTATCTGTGTATCATATTAGGGCTCATTCTTGAAACTTGGGAGATTAATTATGAAAAATCAGTTGTGATAGTACAAATTGATTTTTTTAAATGTATATGTCCACTTGGAAGGTTCTGCCAAAGTTGAGCTTTTTGCTCATTTTGTCAGATATCGTTATAGCCTTCTCGTTTATTTTTAATTCTCTCCAGAATTTTTGGTGGCTCCTCCTTTTAGATATGGCTTTATTTCCTTGTATTTCAGGAGTATGTTGGCACTCTCAAAAGCCATCTGTTGTACATAAATAGGTAAGCGTGGAAGGTCATGTGTTTCCATTGCTGTATTGAGGCATTGTCCCTGTTACATATACACGCTAGTCTATCTTTTTGTTCAGTGTTTTGGCCACCAAACTACAGCTCCTTTAGTGACAAGGACTATTAGGTTGCGCCTTCCTGGAGATTATTCCCAAGTTTTTGGTGCATAACCTAACCTCCTACTACACTTGGGTGTCACAGACAAGAGTTCAAACCATTTAACAATGTTTTCTTTATATTATTCTCAATTAAAAATCCAAGGGCTATGCCAGGATTCGAACCCAGGACCTCTAGTGTGGTAATACGAGTCAGACGCCCTAACCATTCCGCCACTGCAGTCCCTTACAAGCCAATATGTTGAAGCTCTCAAGACAAGATGAGAAAACATTCAATATAAGTTTCAAATTGTTTAATAAACAACAAATTGTACATTTTTCAATTTAGTTTCAACGAAAGAAACAAATGATATCCATGCGTTTACTGCTACAGCATGTAAAATGAGATCATTTCCAGATTATACACAACTCGAACAAAGTTTTTGGTATAGTAAAATACATACATACACATATACAAATATAATACATGATATTTTATAGATTTTCTACTTTTATGCTTCAAAAAGAAAAAATTAACATTCTACAATATAGTTATTCTATATACTGTCACATTTTGATAAAATTCTACAACCTTTGTGTTTTAATAAATTACAACATTATACCCTAATATAATCACATATATAATAAATAAAGGGTTCAATTATTAATTAAAATCCAATGTTTAAGGAATCCAATTGTAAAATGAGACTTTTTGAATTTATAAAAACAGGTTCATTGTCTTTTTCTAGAACGTAATGACCGTTTAACGAGCGGCTCCATGTCTTCACCTGCATCGATCATGGAGCTGCTCGACTGGACCATCTGAACCTGTAAATTGTTAGCTATCGTCTGGCTTACTTTCGGTGCGATCTTACGGAACTTCAGGCTCGAACTCGAGACCAAATGCTCCTGGTGTTGCGCCATGTCGAGGGATTCAATCTTCGGCACCTGCGTCCTCATTTTATGCGAATTTTCTGTTTGGAAAAATAATAATTAACATGAGAGTGGGTGCAATTGAACAAAAGGAAGTCAAAAATGACCCTTACTGTTCACTCTACTTTTTCCTATTCTTCCTACCACTGTGCTCCTAACATGTGGATTCTTCCAGACTTCTTCACCGTTTGTTACATTTACTGGGTTTCCATTTGGACATTTTGTACCTTTAAAAAAAAATAATAATAAACATCAATTAAAAGTAAAGATGCACTTGAAACAACTAGAAATGAATTTACAGGATTAAGAAAATTAATTTTAAAAACTACATTTATTGTCTAGTTCTTTTGTAATGTGTTTTAAATTTATAAATCCAAATCATTTCTTTAATAATAAGTGTCAGTGTCTTATTCCATGCAAAAAGAATCCTTGGGGTACAAGACATTTTTTTTTTCACATAGAAATCTTACCCTGTTGAAAACTGTTGTTATATTGTGCATCATCAGATTGACTAGAACAGGCGATTTGCACGTTGGGGACACAGTATGTAAGCTGTACGTTTGGAACGTTGTGTTGGTTATAGCCCACCATCTGATACAGGTTCAGTGGGTGTTGAAGTAGGGAAGACTGAGAAGAGATGGGGTTTGTGATCTTGTTGACTGTTGTTTCAAGCCGTCCCGCTGAGCTCTTTGCGATATCTGCGGCCGGAAGCATGTTGATCGCGATAGGCGGCTCATGCTCCGGCATGCCGAGACTTATCGTTTTATTTTTATCGCATTCCTCCATGGAATCTGCAATTCCATATCCTGACTTTATACTTTTTCTTAAAGAATCCCGTTTTACGCTTGAAAATATAATTTTGCAGGAAATTTTCTCTACTTAAAACTTTTAAAAGTAAAGCTATTCTATACTTAGAAGCCTTAAGAATTTTTATTCATATATTTTATTTTATTTTTTTTATATTACTATTTATTTTAGCTAATACCTTCTATCTTATGTTCCTGTTTTATGTTAATAGTATTGTAACTTTCTAACGTTAAACTGGATGTCCTGAAAAATCAACAACTTATAATTATTTGTACCTTACAGGCTTCAATAAATGCATACTTACAACATTTCATTTGAAGAACTGTCAGTGTTGTTATCTAGAAATTAAAACAAAATATGCTAAACTAATTAATTAATTTTTTTATAATATATACATACACAAAAATGAGAGAAAAACGTCTAAATTAGCTTGGAAAATTTGTTAGTTGGCTTCAACTTTTTCCCGTTAAAGATATTTATATTGAATATGTATACAAATACACCCAAATTCAAGCAAAAATCTTAAATGTGCAATACAGAGAAATTTAAAAGTTAGTAAGAAACTAAACCACCAGAAGGAGAAAGAAACAACGAAACAAAGCTGATGAAAGGTACAATGTACAAGGTATAGCATATTACCTTGAATTGCAAGCATAACTGAATCAGAAGAATAATAAAAGAGAAAAAACACCGGGATTTAGACATTGCTAAGTACGCAAGAAAAAAACAAGTAGATGACAGAAACGAAATGAAAAGCAGTTCATTTAAAAGAATTGTCTACATAGATAATAAAATATGAACAGAAAAGCAAGAAAATAACAAAAAACAACAACAAAAATTGAAACAGGTAAAGATTTTGCTTTGAGGATATTCAAGATCCACAATATCATCGTTACATAAAAAATATTAATAATGTAATTAGGAAGGAACCAAATAAAAATAATATGGGATTATCTGGATTTTCAGGATAAAGAACATATCTGCAAATATTATCTCAAGGTTAATGGCAGCGAGCTTTATGCTAAAGTTGATAGTGGATGTTTATCCACGAGTTGAACACATTTTGAACTGGCACTGGGTCTGTCTACATCCTCGGATTTTATTTTTTTCGAGGATTCGCAATAGCTGAGGTCATATCAATCCTCGGATGTTATTCAATCAAGCACGTTTAGAATTTAGGCCATATTCAGTGAAGAACATTCATGCAAAAGGCCAGACGGATGAAGGGTCGTTTCAACAAGCTTTATATTATTTCCTGTTGTTTTGCATTCTCTTCTTGTAAAATTGAGGTTGCGCTAAGCATCGCCAAATTATTTTTTTTCTCCTTAAATGCATTTTTAGTAAGAATAAAGCAAATATGCTGTTATTGAAAAGTTTGAAAGAAAGCGTTCAATATGGATGGGAAATTTCTGATTTTAGCGCAATTTTATGCTGATCAGATGTACTGATAAAAAATATAAAAAGTAATTTTTGATGTTGAAGCGAAATTAAAAGTTAAAAACTAACAATTTATATATTATTCTTGGGTTTACCTAGCAATAAATGAAAAAAAATCCCAATTAAAAACCAGAAATAAAGCATTTAAAATTGTGAAAAACTGGAAAGCTTGATTTATCCGTTCAAAATTTGGTTAAAACTGGATGTGATTTGCCACAAGAGGGAAAAGGATTGTCACTAGGAAAAACAAGGATTCTTCGGTATTCAGAAAATAGAATCTGCCAAATGTGTGCTGCGGCTGTCGAAAACCATAAATAAAAACAGCAGAATGAAGGCATTGAATTAAAATGAAAAGGAAAACTTTACGATTTAGGAAAAATAGAAATCTAAATAGTTGCAATATTGTAGCATAAGGTGCAAAGTTTATGTTTAGCTACAATTTTCCGTATACATTTTTTGTTAAATTTTTCCAGAAATGTTTAATTTGCAATTTAAATTTAAATTTAACCTACTCTGATTGGTAAAAATGGTAATTTTATTTATCCAGTATCAAAAGATCAAAGAGAGAATTTAAACCGAATAAAATATTCCTAGATGTACAAGTATAAATATTTTAAAAACTCGGCTTCAAACTATTTGCACAACTAATCAGACCGATGCACTGGAAAACTCACAAAAAATAATACATTCGTACATTTTTGTCACATTTTTTAATTTATAATTTAAAGGTTAAAGTAAAAAAATCTGATTGAGATTGGATTTGATAAACTTGCCACAAAAGAAAAAAAAAATTGTAACAGAAAAGCAAGAATATCTTACTGATTCAGGAAATAGACAAATGTATGAGGCAGGTGCAGCATAACAATAAATAAATTCAGCAGAATGGGAATGCTCATAATAAAATGAAAACGAAGAACTCTACCCCTGAGAAGAAGAAAAATAGATCTCTATAGATCTGCAACTTTGAAGATTAACATAACTTAACAAGTTTTTTCAATTAATTAATTTTTATGTAGGTATTGGTTGAGATAAAAATCAGGGTCACAAGCGGGATTTCTTTTTTATCTCAACCAATACCTACATAAAAATTAATTAATTGAAAAAAGTTATTTGGTCAACCGGACCACGAACTCTAACGAACTTAACAAGTTTCAAACAAGATTCATTTTTACATTCTAGTATGAACATTTAAAATAGAAAACTGTAGATCTGCAATGCTATGGATTAACAAAACTTACAAACAAAACTATTTTACACAGCCATATGAAATTTTTGTTAAATTATTCCAGAAATGTTTATTTATAATTTAAAGTTGAATCTGTAGGTAGGTGAATAATGTATGTATTATAATAATTCATGATTTTATTTGCCCAGTATCAAAAGAACAAAGGGAGAAACCAAGTAAAATATTGTTAGATGTAAAAGTATAAATATTTTAAAAACACAACCTCCAACCGTTTGCACAACTCAGCACCGATCCGCCAGAAATTTTTTACAGAAAATTACACTTCAAAATTTCAAAAGATGAAAATCTTATGATTGAGACTGTGATAAACTAGCCACAAAAAAAGTAAAACTACTGTAAAAGGAAAAATCGACATCTCTCGGATTCAAGAAATAGTCACCAAATGTGTGATGAGACAGAAGCATGAAAGCAATAAATAAAAAAAGGAAAATGAAGATATTCATAGTAAAATGAAAAGGAAGTATTCTAACACTTTATAAAATAAACAGAATCCGGCAGAGCAGATCTCCAACATTGTAGCTTAAGGTGTAAAAAATGAAAGAAAATCGTAGATGTGTACATTTTTGTAACATTTACACAAAATGAATTAAAATCAATTACTATTATTACACTACAGATCTCACATTTTTGAACATACACCTCTAACAATTACAAAACATAGTTTTTTTGTGAAGCCTACCAGCTACTAAATATGTTGAAAAACAATGTAGTGTAAGATATGCAAAATCATTAAAATAATGACTTTTTTATTTTAAAACCACAATAAGTTATATTTTCTTTAGATAGCTGGTAATAAAACATTGCCATCTTATGAAAATTTTCATGTTAAATTGAATAGAGTTATCAGTTTTCTCTATCTTGACTGATTTATGGGTTATGATTTTTTTATTGTAAAATGCTAATCTCCAAAATGGTTCATAATTGGAACGTTTTTATAAAAAGATTTTTCCGCGAATAACCATCACGATTAATTGTTCAATTCTGACCTGTATTGAGCTCTGATAATCTACAAAAGATAATGATTTTTAATATATTAAATACATAACAATAAATAAATAAAAAGAGTACATTAATACCAAATGTATAAAAAGAACATTATGTACACTCATTTTTGAATCAAATGATTTTTTTATTAATCAATTCACAACAGATACATTTAAAAAAATTCCATTTTTGAGAATAATATAAGCTTTCTTGGTTGGCAACTCTTGGGTACCCGAAGAGATTCCATTTATTCAATCTCGAGTGAGGCCCTTGACTCCTAGAAAAGTTTCACATCTCTCAAAAATTTGTCTAATTTTCTCTTTTTCAACGTATGTTGTGTTTTACTATTAGATAGGAGCATCTAGGTAGTTTAAGAATTATCGATGACAATTGACAAGGAAATATAGTTGACCACTAAAAAAAATTGTTTTTCCTAAAAAAACTATATTTTTATATTAAATATAGAGGTGAACTTCCAACAATAAAAACAAGTAAACTTTAGCAATAGAAAATTTTAAAAATTTGAGGTTTCAGGACGATGCAATGTTTTATTGTTTGCTATAGTAATAAACAGCTTACAGTGTACCGCTTATGCATAAAATTTAATACGGTCCGAATTTAAATTTGTCAGAATAATTCTAGTAATAATAAAACAAAAAACTTATATTTAATTTTAGTTATAGGCTCTACTACTTGAAATCATAGGAACGGTGACTCCTCTTTGGTTTTCGATATATCCCAAAGTTTCATTTCCCGCTCCACATATTCTGATATCACACGGCTCCGTCATCTTATCATGATCTCGGATAAAAAACACAGTTCTCGTCTTTGATCTAACCGGGCCAGGTACCACATGAGGATTCTTGTGGCAATTCCCACTTTTACACCTCGGTCTCACATGTGGCACGCATTCATTTTCTTTAGTACTTGTAATTTCTGTCTTTCTCAGAATCTGCAGTTTTGTATCCCATCCCATGTCTCCTAAAGAAAAATCTCTCTTATACTCAATACTCTTTAATTGATTTCCTTAAAATAATACGCATACTTTAAACAGTATACAAAGTTTTGACTAGTCATAAAATATTTTAAAGAATTCTTTTTTTAAATTAATTATTCATATGTAAAACTCAAAGATGACAAGTGATATTTTAATTTTTGAAAAAATGTTACGGATAATTTTTTCCTAGGGGATTCCCATCAAAGCTATAATTTGTTTATGCTGCTTATATACATTTTTTAATGACAGTGTGTTTCAAGATTGTGAAATTATTCATTACTAATTGTGACTTCATGATCATGATCTTCATAATGTACATATCAGTTCCTAAATATACACAGTAAGGCCTGGCCAGATGTTTCTCAGCAGGAAGTGATATTAGATCGAGGCAGTCTGGCGATCTAGTAGTACGCAATTTCCAGATATTGCAGTGGGTAAATTCAGTTTATTCATTGAAAATTCTTCAAACACAAAAAGTTCCCATGATCCTCGAGTACTCCTGCTGCCAGTATGCTCAGTTCTAGCAACCTTAGAACCAGGGTGTATAAAACAATTCTACAGAGTCTTGAACATTTAAATTTAGAAAGTCGGCCAATTTCAAGTATGACTGAAGAAAATTACTGTAAAGCTGGCAAGTTACATTTCACGATCATCACTGTCGAACTTTTTTTTTTTCTGGAATTTATTGCTCCCAATTGTACAAAATCACAGACTGCCAGCACGATCGCCCTTCTGCTTTTTGTTCTTTGCAGCATAGACTGAGTTCGCTCTAGCTTAAAATGCATGATTAAACAGAAATAATTTATGCAATTAAGGAAAAATTAAATATTTAAATAAGTGTTGGTATCTCCGAATTTTTCTCTCTTCTTATTAATTTCATGCACCCAACGTCGTCTTCATCTGAACTTGTACCCGATACAATAGAAAAGGAAAAATACCAGTGTTGTGAAAACGCACTATGCTCTCCAGAAGAATGTGACTAGTCTGGACAACTCACACAAAAGTATCGCTGCCCACTCAATCACTTTCTGCCATGACAGATTGCTTTCTGTCTAGCTAGGCGTGATTTTTTTAAATTTTGTATTTAAACAAAAAATTTAGTAAATTACTATTATTATTATCATTAATAATATACACAGCATAACATGCAGGACCACTTTTTTTTTAACCACCGAGGCCCAACTAAATTATTTAGGCCTAACTGCAGATTGTGAAAAAATAGGTTTTGTTTTTTATTGTAAGATGTTTAAAAAAAACAATGCATTTAATAAAATTGCTTATATTGGATTAAAATCTGGATCAATTTAATTATAGACCATGTTAATTCCTGAAATTTTACCAATTCTCAAAATCCAAAAATTGGTGTATTTTTTATTATTTTAATAACTATAAGAAACTAGTACTGGAAAGGAGGTCTACGAAATTTTGCATTTAATGGACCATTTTTTTTTAGATGCTTCGGAAATTTTAAGTTTGACACGGGTAGTTCTTTCTTCTCGTCAGCATCATTAGGCGAATCATTTTTAACTTTCCCATTTGATTCGAGCTTCCTGAGATCATTCTCAGGTTTTCCCTGATCCATTTCAGCGTTATCTCTTTCTGACTTGTCGAGTTCTTTTTTTGGAAAGTTCATACTGTCTTTGTGTGCAGCGTCGAACATTTCCTGTTTTTCGACGGCCTCGATCAAACCGGGCTCCTTCAACTCGTCGAGTTTATTAATAGACAGTATATCTTTCCTACTACGAGGCATCGACTCCATCTTGTCGGCTATCGTGTAAGTCACCTCGTCTGTTTCCAGCATCATGTCTTTCTTGGCTGACTCCAGTATGTACAAACGCTGGCTGAGCTTGTCATTCTCCTCCTTCAAGTGGAGCAGTACAATTCGATCTTGCACCCAATGTTCAGCCGCCGAGGCCAAGAATGACAGAAGCTCCTTTTCTTCCCTGTTTTGCATCTGGGATCCCTTCTTAATGTAGCCACACAACTTTTCAAAAGGGTCATTACCGAGAGTAGGCCCGTTAAAGTCGACAGTTTCAAAACCTGAAGGAGATCACTTCACATTACTACCCATATTGTAAACAAGATATTAATTTTAAAATACTACTTAATTTTAAAAATACAATTCTGGCTGATGCAATGTTTTTTTTTTCTTTCTAAAAGTAACCAAAATTTAAATATTTAAGTAACTAGCGCACAATGTTATAACCAATCAACTGTATAAAAAAGGTTTGAAAATTTTACAGTAATAATTTTGACCAGGACTAAAAACTAAGAAATAATTTCCCCTCTACATATTTCATATAAATTTTTCTTTTTTTTATCTTACATCTTTTTGTCAAAATTTACATTTATATACACAAAATTTAAAATATATCTCATTAATACAATAATACAAATTTTGAAATGCCAATCTTCATATCAGTAAGTCTGCATCACCCAGAAACCAACATCAAACATCATATATAAAAACTTTATTTACATTATTAAATGAACAAAAATAAATTAAAAAGAGATTTCAATAAATCTCAATGTTTAGTCTACGGATGAAAAAAATATGGGTAATAATGTGTAGCATACTCCGCTTTATCTGTACATAAAGCAACGTTTGACCATAAAACATAAAATGGGCGTTTGTCATAATTATTATAAACAGATTTAATAAAATAGACATTACCGAAATTAATTGTACACTAAAGTAACATTAAAAGATAAAAAAAGTTTAGGAACAAAATACTTACTAAATGTTCCCGAATTTTGAACCATCGATGTGTTACTATTGCTTCTTCGTTGAACCTGAAAGAGAATAAAAATTTAATTTACGAAAATGGAAAATTTTAAAATGCAACACTGACATGAGAAGTTATTTTGTCTTTGGATGGTACGATATTGACTTCGGGCCTACTGACCATTCCGATGCTTCCTATCGTTGAGGACGATTTGTGCTTTCCAGTCTCGACAAAGTTGAGCGTTTTAAGCAGGACTGACAGCCTGCTTTTGTCATAGTTCTCCCAGTCGATGTATTTATCATGATCTCTGACTGAAACATTTATTAATAACTAATAAAAATTTAAAATTAGCACGAAAACCCAATTTATCATGAGTTATATTTTGAGATAGGTAAATGTAGTAGAGGGTCTTAAGAAATGATGCTTTCGTGTAATGCTTCTGGTTTTTAAACTTTTGAAAGTAAAACATGTAAAAAAACTTTGTGCTTGAGGCAGAGAATTTTTGTAAACTTAAAAAAAAATTTAAAATTTGTTGCCGAGAATCCAATCCGATTACACGACATTTGAAAAATGGCAAAAAGGAGGGAAAATTCAAAAGGTGTGGTTGAGATGGGAAGTTGGTGTCCGAGTGGATCACGATAGCTCAAGTGGTAGAGCAGCAGCGTATCTAGCCGAAGATCGTAGGTTCGAATCCCACTCGTGCCATTGACTTTTTTATCTCAACTAAAAACCTTAATTAATTGTAATATATTATATTGGTCAAGCGGACCACGTGAATTAGTGGACTTAAAAAAAAAGTTCATGAATGGTCTAAAACAGGAAAATTGGCTAAACAACCTTTAAAATGTCAAAAACACTGTGCTTGAATGTTGCCAAGCTGTAGGAACCAAAATCATCATGTAGATCGAGTGGATCATACAATCATACCATGTGTTGTTCAGTAAAATTTTGAAATTTGGCTATATTGATAGAGAACAAGAATAATGATGGTCCTAGACGCTTTTGTCTGCAAATCAGACATTTGCTCAACATTATTGCACTATTCTTTATGTAAGTGCCATTTAGTACAATTTTGAAATTACACTATTCTAAATGAGCTTTTTCAAGAGAACAAGAATAAGGAGGCCAAAATGAAAAGTTGTAGTCTAATAGACATTTTCCATTGAATTTACACTATATTCATTGAGTGTTAATTTTCTCCTTCTAGTGGTCATATGGTTAAGCTTTTCCAATGGTAGAGATTTATGGTAGATATTTTTTTTTTATTAATGTATATACATTTTGAGACAATTTAAGCTTCAAGAATCAAGTCAAGGAGTCCTTCACGCACTCATTGTAAGAGAAAGTTTTTAATTTTCTGTGTAGGCTTTTTTTAAAGTGTGCAATATTAATTGTGTTCAAGAGACATGCATACAAGGTTGAAAAGCTGTACACTAAACTTTGCTAATGGAAGTTCGTATAAAGGTAAAATTCATCGAAGAACTTTACACATGGTTCTAGATGCTTTTGTCTGCAAGTCAATGAACCCAACATCCTTGCACCGATCTTAGCATATCCTTAGCAAGATTTTGAAAACAAGATTAAGCAGCTATGATGAGGCTGTGAGCTAATGTTTAATATAAAATGGAATGAGGCCTAATGTGGCTCAAAATTCATTAAATCTCTTCAAGAGAACAAGAATAAGCAAGCAAGGATGAAAAGCTGAAGGCTAATAATTGCTAATTGAATCATTTTGAGGATTTTTTTCAAGATTGTGAAGATCTTCACAATCTTGAGAGGGAAAAATATATATAAGTTGTAAATTTGAATGTAACTTACATATATAATTATTCAGAAATTGTGAGATGCGGTCTGGTGTGATGTAGGTTTCAGAAAAAAATTTTCTTTATCGTGCCAACGTTACGATCTTTATTGAGATTATCTTCAGGGCTCAAAGTGTTTGTCTTCTGTGTAATTGTGCCGTTCTTGTGTGTCATGTTGAGGGTGCAAGAATGGCACAATTACATAGAAGACAAACACTTTGAGCCCTGAAGATGACCTCAATAAAGATCGAAACGTTGGCACAATAAAGAAAATGTTTTTCTGAAACCTACATCACACCAGACCGCATCTCACAATTTCTGAATAATTATCAATTAACGGTCACTAATCACCACACATTTTTTTTTTCAATATTTCAAATGTTATTTAATATAAGACAGAACCGGCTTCGCTCAACATACATCTCACTTGCACAATTTTTAATAATTCAAAAAGACATTTTTTTTTTCAATATTGTGAAGATCTTTCTGCAATGACCAAATTACATGATCATCATCCAGCAGACCACATGAAGGAATCTCACAGTCTGTGACCACCTAGTTTGGCCACATTAAACTTTCAACCTCTAATGAGACTGTTTTGGCCTTGCAGCCTGTACAGAAAGTACAAAAATAAAATAATCAAACTACCTTTTAAGATTTTAAACTTAATTGGCTGGAAACTTTCCCTTCACCAGGATAAAAGGATATTTGGAAAAGGGAGCGAAATTTGTTACAAAATTCAAACTAAAAAACATTTATTTGAAACAGAAACTAAAAACAATTATAAACCTTGATTAGAACTAGACTAAAAATTTGGAATCAGCAAGTTAAAATAATCTCCATCTGGAATAAAACAAATCATAAAAATATTTAACTCCAATTAAAAACCAATATCTCTGTTAGAAATTTCCCAGGTGAAAAGACAAACACTGCAGCAACAATCAATCAAGCAATTTCAGTTTTATCAGTTTCCTTTGGATCCAAGAGCCAGAACAACACTCCTACCCACTCAGGATGGTTCCCACCTCATACCTCACTGCACCTTTGATCCTCGGATGGTCCTGTTGTCGCAGGGGTGTTCCGTGACAAATTATTGCATCTGTTGATTGCATGAAAAGCTGAAGGCTGCTAATAATTGCCGATTGAATTATTTTGAGATTTTTTAATATTTTGAAAACTACAAGTATAAGCAGGGTAGGATGAGACTGTAGACTAACATTTATTAATAGGCAGGCCAAAATGACATGTAATGACCAAATGACACATTCATACTCTAGCAGACCACATGAAGGAATCTCACAATAATTGCATGTGCTGTTTAGTAAAATTTTGAAATGTTGCTATATATATAATATATTGATACAATGATAATATAATTTATTGATAATATATATTGATATATTGATAATATATTGATTCTGATGATAAAGAATATGAATTTGGTCAGGCTGAAGCGCTTTGATCATATTGGTTAATTGAATAGCATAAGTTTCATAGCAATTTTGTAAAAGGAATATTTGTGAAAGAACATTACAATTTAATGATGGTCCTAGATGCTTTTGGGTTTAAATCAGTGAAAATTTGTCCAAATTTTTTGGACGTCAAGAAAATTTGTAGGCTAATATTTGTTAACTGCTATATAAATTTAAAAAAAAGGAAAAAATGAATTGTAGAGTGTAACAGATATTCGTCCTAGATACTATTGTCTGCAACAATTCACCAAACTTTCTTGCTCCTATCTGTAGCTGTATATTATCAGGAGTGCATATGAATAAAATATTTATTTCATGACAATTTATGCCTCAGCTCCTTGACTTGAGTCATTTGTCGAGCCCCAATGAAAATGGAACCAGGAGGACAAGTAAAGTCCCTTGAAATTTATTGAATCTCTTCAAGAGAATAATAATCAGGGTAGGATGAGTCTGCAGACTAATATTTATTATTAATAAGCAGGCCAAAATGATGCGTAATGACCAAATTACAGGTTCATCCTTCAGGAGACCACATGAAGGGATCTCAAAATAATTCCATGTGTTAAGTAGAATTTTAAAATTTTTCGCTATATACATTGATTTAGATAATTAAGGATACAAATTTGGTCAGGCTGAAGCTCTTTGTTCATATTGGTTAACTGAATAATATAAGATTCAAAGCCATTTTGTGTAAGGAATATTTGTGAAAGAACATTACAATTTAATGAAGGTCCGAGATGATTTTGTTTGCAACTCGGTGAACATTTGTCCAAATTTTTTGAAAATCTGTAGGCTAATATATCTTAATTGCTATATAAATTTCAAAGAAAAGGAAAAAATGAATTTTTCAAGAACTTTAGAGTGTAACAGATACTCGTACTAGATACTATTGTCTGCAACAATTCACCCAACATCCTTGCACTTATCATAGCTGCGTATAATTATCAGAAATGCATGTAAATAAAAATATGTATTTCAAAACAATTTATGCCTGAGCTACTTGACTTGAGTGATTTGTCGAGACCCAATGAAAATGGAACCTGGAGGACACATAAAGTCCCTTGAAATTCATTGAATCTTTTCAAGAGAATAATAATCAGGGTAAGATGAGTCTGCAGACTAATATTTATTAATACGCAGGCCAAAAAGATGCGTAATGACCAAATTACAGGTTCATCCTCCAGGAGACCACATGAAGGGATCTCAAAATAATTCCATGTTTAGTAGAATTTTGAAATTTAGCTAAATACATTGATTCAGATAATTACGGATACAAATTTGGTCAGGCTGAAGCTCTTTGTTCATATTGGTTAACTGAATAATATAAGTTTCAAATAATTATTCAGAAATCGTGTGATGCAGTCTGGTGTGATGTAGGTTTCAGAAAAACATTTTCTTTATCGTGCCAACGTTTCGATCTTTATTGAGATCATCTTCAGGGATCAAAGTGTTTGTCTTCTGTGTAATTGTGCCATTATTGCGTGTCATGTTGAGAGTACCCAAAGCTAAGTTTTAAAGCAATTTTGTGTAAGGAATATTTGTGAAAGAACATTACAATTTAACGAAGGTCCGAGATGCTTCTGTTTGCCAGTCGGCGAACATTTGTCCAAATTTTTCGAAAATCTGTAGGCTAATATTTGTTAAATGCTATATAAATTTCAAAGAAAAGGATAAAGAGAATTGTATGCATATAATTATCAGGAATGCATATAAATAAAAATATGCATTTTGTGGCAATTTATGTCAGCTCCTCGACTTGAATCGTCTGTCGAGACTTAATGAAAAATGGAATGAGACGGCACCTAAAATGAAATTCACTTCTCTTCAAGAGAACAAGAAAAAGCGAACAAAGATGAAAAGCTGTAGGCTAATTGAATTATATGAATATGACAGTGACATTGTAAGGAAAATATTTGAATTTTTACAGCGAATGGTGGCTTGCCCAACATCGTTGCCTCAATTCTACTGTTTTTGATAGATTTTTATCATTTTCATTGAATTCGTTATGAATGAAAAGCAAGAATCGGCTGACGGATTGGAGCTATGGGATTGTCTAGTACTGATTGTTTTAATTCTACCTGTTGTAAAATGTCCATACCTATAGAAACTAAATCAGAGAGAAGATCAAGTAGCTCGACCAGGTTGAGGCCTAAAATCTTCGAGCTGAACCTCTTCCCCTTCTTGGAGGTGTTGAGGCATTCCTTGAGGTGCGGCGAAGTCTCCAGGAAGTTCTGCGCCGCTTCTGCACACTCCTCGTCCTCCAGGTACCCTGGAAGAAGTACGATATAGAATATAAAGAATAAAAATAAAACACACCGTGGGAGGATAAACTCACCGAAAACCAGCCTGGCTACTTCGGAGGGAAGGAGCGATTCCATGCCCTGAGGCCGAAGCGTTTCACTCTTTTAAATCGGCTCTAGAAAATACATGGATTATTCTCGGTCGTCAATCCGTGGGTCGGGAAAAACAAAAGAATCAGATCCGACAAAAAAAAATGCCGTTTTGTCTCAACGAACCGGGCCTGGGGAGAGTCGGCCGGGTCAGCCGTGTCCACCGGTGTTGTTTACAAACAAAACGGGCCTTGTAAGGTCGACGAGATCTGACGTCCCGGCCGATTCCCGTTCCTCCCTTCTTCTTCCAACGAATTTGAAATTTTGATTGTGTTCTCGAATAGGAAGATTATTTTATGCATTGAACAATTTTGAATGGCTCCTGGCTGTTTGTTACATTTAGGAAGGTAATTATTACTCGACGGTTAATGTTTAAAAAAAAACGTTAAAATTCACTAATCAAATGTTTTAGATTGTCTGACATTTATTAGGTTAAATACGAATTTCTATTCTATCTCAGGCATAACCCTCTAGCCTATTTTCTACTAGATATAAATAACAATTTTAAATCTACTTGTTTTTTTTATTTTCATGTGTTTTTAAATTTTATTTAATCCCATTTTCTTCAGTTGAGAAGCTCGACCTAAGAAATCTTTACACGCCCTTAGAAAAAGATTTCTGCCAAAAATTTCCTGCCTTATAGTTTATAAGTTTAAAATTAACTATAAGCAACACGTATGTCTACCATTTGAGATTTATTTCGTATAAAATTGATTAACATTCAAACTAAATTTGGTTCAGTTTACACGAAGGAAAACCTAGTTGAGTGACAAACTTTCAATTTAAAATATTTCTCATCTCGTTGGATGAATGTGTTGTATATTTTTCCTAGCAAAAATATCAGCTATTATTTATTTCTTATTATTGATTCTTAGCTGTCCTTTGTTTAAAAAGAAAACCCCAGTTGAGTCATGAGTGACTGTCACATTTGAGTGATTCATTAGTGACAGTTACCTTTCAGTAATTACTGCGTTGGTTACTGGTTCAGTTGGCTATTTTCAAAGCAAAAGAATCATCTATTAATTCATTGATTCTTAAGTGTCTTTTGTTTACAAATAAAACCCTAGTTGAGTCATGAGTGAATGTCACATTTGAGTAATTTCTCGCGTTGGTTGAATATCAGTTGGCTATTTTCAAAGCAAAAGAATCATCTATTAATTTATTGAATGTTAACTGTCTTTTGTTTACAAATAAAACCCTCGTTGAGTCATGAGTGAATGTCACATTTGAGTAATTTCTCGCGTTGGTTGAATATCAGTTGGCTACTTTATGTATATATAACACGTCTCTATTGAAATACTACTTTTTTTTGGAAACTCTTTTTAGGAAGAGAAAAAAAACGAAAAAATACAATAATTAAAATAAAATTACTCAAATGTAATATTCACTCATGACTCATGACTCAACTAGGTTTTTATTTGTAAACAAAAGACAGCTAAGAATCAATCAAATAGCTGATATTTTTCCTGGGAAAATAGTCAACTGACATTCAACCAACGTGATAATAAATTACTCAAATGTGACAGCCACTAATGACTCAATTAGGGGTTTCCTCTTATACAAAAGACAACCAGCAAGTAATAAATTTATAGCTCATATTTTTGGTATGAAAATAGCCAACTGATATTCAACCAACGCGAGAAATTACTCAAATGTGACATTCACTCATGACTCAACTAGGGTTTTATTTGTAAACAAAATACAGCTAAGAACCAATCAATTTATAGCTGATATTTTTCTTAGAAAAATAGTTAACTGACAGTCAACCAACGTGATAATAAATTACTCAAAATTTGACAGTCACTAATGACTCAACTAGGGGTTTCCTCTTAAACAAAAGACAACCAGCAAGTAATAAATTCAGAGGTCATATTTTCGCTATGAAAATAGCCAATTGACATTCAACCAACGCGAGAAATTACTCAAAGGTAACGGTCACTAATTAATCACTCAAATGTGACAGTCACTCGTGACTCAACCAGGGTTTTATTTGTAACGAAAAACAGTAATCAATAAATTAATAGATGATTTTTTTGCTATGAAAATAGACAACTGATATTTAACCAACGCGAGAAATTACTCAAATGTGACATTCACTCATGACTCAACTAGGGTTTTATTTGTAAACAAAAGACAGCTAAGAACCAATCAATTAATAGCTGATAGTTTTCCTAGGAAAATAGTCAACTGACAGTCAACCAACGTAATAATAAATTACTCAAATGTGACAGCCACTAATGACTCAACTAGGGGTTTCCTCTTAAACAAAAGACTACCAGCAAGTAATAAATTCGGAGGTCATATTTTCGGTATGAAAAAAGCCAACTGACATTCAACCAACGTAATAATAAATTACTCAAATGTGATACTAATGACTCAACTAGGGGTTTCCTCTTAAACAAAAGACAACCAGCAAGTAATAAATTCAGAGGTCATATTTTCGCTATGAGAATAGCCAACTGATATTCAACCAACGCGAGAAATTACTCAACTGCGACAGTTACTTATGACTCAACTAGGGTTTTATTTCTAACAAAAAACAGTTAAGAATCAATAAATTAATAGATGATTTTTTTGCTATGAAAATAGTCAACTTATATTCACAACCAACGCGAGAAATCACTCAAATGCGTCAGTTACTCATGGCTCAACTAAGGTTTTATTTGAAACAAAGAACAGTTAAGAATCAATAAATTAATAGATGATTTTTTCATCTATCATCATCAGGAATAGCATTAGTAATTAATATCATTGTATAAATTTATTAATTCTTAGCTGTCTTTTGTTTACAAATAAAACCCTAGTTGAGTCACATTTGAGTCATTTCTTATCACGTCGGTTTAAAAATACCTGTTGTTTACAAAGAAACGTCATTTGACCACCTTCCTACTAAATCTCCTAAAAAAGAAATTAATTTATAACTTTCTGTAAATTATAAATTTCATTATAAACTTGAGTAATTTTTATACCCATTGTTTGGAAACTCGTTTCATTACAAGGAAATGATAGTCAAGTCACTACCACATTTGAGAAATTTTTGATCACATTGGTTGACCTCATTTGACTATCTTCCTATCAAAAATATCTCCTTTAAATTTATTAATTTATAAATGTGTTCAACAAGTAAAACGTTGTTGAGTGACTGTCCCATGTTCGTAATTCCTTATCACGTTGGTTGTATGCCATTTACCATCTTGCCAGCAAAAATATTAGCCATAAACTGATTAATTCTTAACAATCTTTTGTTTACAAGAAAAACCACTTCAATTTCTGTCAGATTTGAGTAATTTCATATTACGTTAGTTGAGTGCCCTATCTTCATGCGTCCTGCAAAAATATCTAATGTCGATTTTAAATCATTTTAACGGTAACTTCATTCTGTGGCGATTCCTTTTAAATTATGCTTAGTTAAACATTTAACAATAAATCATCGAATTTTCCACTTGTTGCGATTTTCTGTTTTGGTGTAAAATTGGCTGAATTTACAAGAAAAAACTGCGTTCGACGCCTTTTAACAAACTTCCTTGCAAGGACAAAGGAAAGGATAAAATTTTGATAAATCATCAGCTTTGAAGACTGGAAGGATTTAAACATCGTTGAATAATTGTTTTATCTTTCGACATTATTTCCAAAAAATTGAGTTAACTTTTCACAAAGAAAATTTAGTTGTGGGAATATTAAGGATGTTTAAGTTATGCTAAGTAAGTCAGTTTAGTTCCTCTAAGTTTAACGATCGCAGTGGTGCTTCGGTTGGTGTTCGGTTCCATCTGACATACTTTTTCAAGTAAACCTAACAAGGAAAACCTAGTTGAGTGACTTCACATTTGAGTAATTTCATATAAATTCCATTGAATTTGGCTGACCTCAGTTCTCAAAAAGTGGAATAATTAATTTCTTTTTCGATTTTATTGTCCGTCATCTTGGCACAGTTTAAACCATGGAAAACGTACAATTTACAATTTTTTTATATTATTTGTTACATACTTCTTGAGTAACTACCCTGTAAATTTAGCGATCAACTTTCACTGTTTTTTGTGCTAATTTTTAAAAAATTTTTTTTACTTATATTGTTTTAAGTATACTTAGATTTCACGACTCGTAAAATGTGGTTGAATCACTACTACGTTTCCGTAATTTCTTATCACGTTGGTTTGATAATTGGCTTTCCAGACCAATTGTTTTGTTATTACATTTTCAGGGATTTTACAACGTATTTCTTTTTTTGCCATTTGATTAAAATCGTAAAGTAAAATATAAAAATAACAGCTGTAGACTTGATCGTTTATGATAATTGCTTTCTGATACGATGTTATTTCTGGCTTTTATAGCTTGAATAATGTTTTAAAATGGTCGAATTATTTTCTGTTACGATTAAGTATTTTTATTCCCAGTTCGTCCGAGTTTACGCCTAGAGATAGGACTATTATCTGTGTTCAGTGTCATTTCATGTTAATTGGTTTCATCACGGCTGTAAAAACTTTATTTAACTCTTACATAAACACACCATGACTTGATAGACTATTGACTATTTACTCGCACATATCAAGAGCACTGTCGATAGGTGGCCCTCGGAGGATCTGACTCGCAGAAGAGGGGTCATCCTCAGCCGATTAAGGATAGGCCATGAGAGATTGACACGCGGACACTTATTTTTGAGCCAAAGCCCGCGTATGTGTCCGTATGCAGTCGCTCGATGTGTCCCACCTAATTGAAGGGAACAATTCCTTGGTTCCGTATATAGAGCGTGTAGAAAGGGTACCTGATATCAGAATTGTGCTTGAGCATGGAAGCAAGTATCTGGGTCGTGATAGAGAGTGTATGTATTTATTAGCGTGCTTTAGAGTGAAGTAGGGTAACTTATACTCTCAATCAGACATACGACTAATACAAGCTGGGGTCCCACAAGGGCGTGCTCTAGGTCCCACCCTTTTACCATTTATACATCTGATTTTTCTAACCATCATTAAGCACGATCATTACCACTTATGCGGATGCCACCGCAATTATTTCTTCTAATGTGAATCCTAACTAGGAACACCTTGAGGTTATCGGAGCAAAATATGGAGGACATGACTGAATGTAGATGAATGTACGTTCAAATTGAAAAAAAGAAGTCTTGCCTTTCACTCGACAACAACAAAGAGATACCGTCTTTCATGTAATTCAATTACTTAGGACTACCACTAGACAGCGGACTGAAATCCCTATGCAAGATGGTGTGACACATCGTCAAAGCTTTTGGAGCACGACATGTGTCCGGTGTGCAAAGAAAGGTTGACCGATGTGTCCCATCTTATTGAAGGGTGCAATTCCTTGGCTCCATACAGAGAGCGTTTAGGAATGGCACTCGAGCACGGAAGCGAGATTTTTTTACATAGTAATGATAGTTTTTCGTGTACCTAGAGTGTGTAGAGAGTGAATGTAATTATTAGCGTGAAAGTATGAAGACAGTTGATTGCGAAATAGTTAGTACCTCATCGACTCTCAATTGTGAGAACTCCACCACCGTAAT